CAGCAGTTTCATGTAGATGTTAAATAGCTTGAGGGAGAAGTTGTGGGACCCCACATCTTAAATTCCATGGAGCCATGCAGCAGTCCCCCAGCACCACCTACTGGAGTTTATGAATGTGATTCTGTCCACATGAACAGAGTGTATAATTTCCACTGTTTGTTGAAAGTGCTTATTCCAAGTATTGTGACAGCGGCAGGCTTAAAAACAAGAATGAGAAGCTCCTAGTGCTTCTTTCAGAATCTGAAAATAGTATTAATAGGAGGTTTCACATGTATCTTGTTTTATGTTCTAGCTAGGAGTAGTTCTATAGCAAATAGGATATATATGTGTGTGTGTGTGTGTGTTTTCCCGAAGCACCTTCTTCCTATTTTTCATAGGATGTGTAAATTCAGAAAGCCATCTTTGGAGGTTATGGAAGTGACATTTTTTTATGGCACATTGCAACAAAAGAAGAAGAGAAGAGATTGGATTTATACCCCGCCCTTCACTATCTAAAGGAGTATCAGAGTGGCTTACAAACTCATCCGGTTAAGGATACAGCTGAAAAGAGACAAAGGCACACAAGACAACCCAGACAAAATCAGAGAAACACCCCCTCCCCTGGAATGGAGATAGATAGATAGATAGATAGATAGATAGATAGATAGATAGATAGACTCAAAATGTGTAGCATGAAAACATCTGAGTACTTCCCCCCTGAAAAAAGTTGTGTAAAATTTCCTACAACTTTAGAAAATGCCTAGAAATACACAATAATTCCACAGATGTTAAATGTGATTAACTTCTACAACACTTAATATGCCATATGTTTGATAATAAGAGTTTAATGTTTTACTACTGTTTTTATAATTTCTATCTTGTTAATTTGTTTTATATTTCATGTTAGTTTTATCAACAATTTTGTTGTTGGCTCTTCTTGATGGTTTTTATTATTTTGTTTCATGCTTTTCTTGTTTATTTTTACTTTGTTAGCTGCACTGAGCAGGTTCCTCACTAAGTACCCACATACTAGCTAGGCAAGTAATGAACTACCTCTTCTAGGAGAACTGAGTATTACCAATTTTAATATGTTGTCAAAATAGTACCAATTTTGATAGGCTTATTTCAGACATCACACCAAACCATGTGAAGCATAACCATGGTTTGGGGCAATTTATGAATTGACAGACTAGTTAGACACTGCTTCACCTCCACGAACTGCTGCACCATGGAAACAGGTGTGAACTTATGAAGCAAAGTGCTAAGGGGAGAGAATAAGTATGAAGCAAAGTGCTAAGGGGAGAGAATAAGTACACAATGAAGCCTTGGCAGAGAATATGACTGGTACAAGTTCACCAAGGAGGCTTAATAGCTGAGTGGGGATTTGAACCTTGATCTCCCTAGTCCATCACACTTAAGCACTGCATCCCCAGGTTCCAGTGGGAGAAAAAAGCAATAGCTATCAAGATTTACTTTTTGAAAAGCTTGTAATCCCTGTAAGGTACCATGTATGCCATCCCAGAACCATTTAAAATATGTGCTTGATCAACTTCTAGTCAGTGAGAACTGCAGGTAAAAGTGTTGTTATTGTAAAATTTAGAACCTGTTTACAGGTTGAGCCTCTACTGGGTTGAGTGGCATGCCAACTAGCACTGGAGTTCTCTGTTGGATGCCAAGAAAGGAGAAAACTAAAAAAAGAATAAAATAAGCATGTGGTATATTTGTACTTAGATCATAATGATTTATTTATATTGTTGGAGTTTCTGAAGTTGCTTTGGAGTTTTTGAAGTTGCTTTGGAATTCATTTAGGCTCATTCCATTTTGACATTCTCTCCTTCAGTTAATTACCCAAAGCTGAAACCATAGATCCCAAAATAACTTGAAAAGCCAAAACACTGCTTTGAGTGTACAAAAGAAAACCAGTATAGAAATATTTTAAATAAACATACACACAAGGCAGGGAAAAGGCACATTCTCTGTGCCTAATCTATTTAACAGGGCTGTTGTAATGACAAAACTGAGGAGGGAACCATGTTCACCTCCCTGAGCTCCCTGAAGGAATGGTGGGATAAAAAATTAATATAGACAGGTGGATATTTTCATGTGACTAACAAGTTTTGAGTCTGTGGATAAGCCCACCAACACCAGCTATGTCAGGAACTGATATTGTTAAAGCAGGACAAAAATTCTAATGAAAGATTTTCTTATGTCTATTTTTCTAGCTTCTGAGCTGTAAAGCATGCTCATGAAGCACATTATCATGCTTCAGAATGGTGCAAATTTTTACTAAGATATCAAACTCTAGTCATCCATTAAGAATACCTAACATAAGCAGAATGGAGTCAGCTAAAATCACATTGTTTAATGAGCTCTATACTTTATTTAAAGTATCAAAGGAGGAAAAAACCTCCCTTCATCATACCTGATTATGCATTCTCTTACGCATAACAACCACTTGCAATTTTGCCCTGGAACAATAAGTATACCTTCTGCATTCATCTTAGCTTCCCCCCTTCTCTTAACACCTCTGCAGCAACTTAATCTCAATGCACAGCTCAACATGGTACCACACTTTATAACATAACTTGCTAGCTACCACACCAAATGAAACAACAGACATTAATTCTAATCTCCAATCTTCTAGAAACCAAATAATACTCTTACCCAACAGTCAGAAGCTGTGCATCTCACAAATCCCATACAGCATTACTTCTTCCCATCTACTTTGAAATCTGCTAGAGAAATCACTCCATACTGTAACACAGTACCACATACTCTTAACCATTCTAACAACTTATGTTTTTCATGCTCCTGAAACATCGCTGCCATTTTTAAACCCTAGCAGGCATCTATATTTATATACAACTATCAACACACAGCCAGACCTAGACTTTTTTAAAACATGGGGGGAAAGTAATAAACATCCACTATATGTAGTAAAGGGCAAAAATGTGGAAGCCACACAGAATATTTACACACACACAGTACCTGCATACTGAATACAAGCCTTCTAGCCAGCCAAAAGGAAATGATAGCCCTACTCCACAAAAAGTATACACAGCACCTATCCTCCCAAAATAGACAGAAAAAAGAAACATGTACCTACTCAATTTCACTACTTTCTCCCTGTGATATGGCTTACTAAAGGAAGTTGAGTATTTGTTTAGGAAGTCCGGGATTTAATGTTCAGAAGTTGTTCATTAGTGAATGGAACTCTTACATACCCACTAAGTCAAATGCTGAGACTTGGAAATGAACTGAAAGATTTGCTGGCAGATCTCTGTATAAAAATGTTTTATTCTTTGTGTAAATACCAGCAACACTGATATGTAACACGGAAAATGGTTAGTTAACACTAAGCTACTTCTTTACTGCTAGGTAGGCTGATCATGAAATTGAATACAGAATTAAAAACCCTTCAGAATTAGGGAATATACTACCAGCACATGCAAGAAAATCCTGATCAGCCAACTGCTGAAACAGTCCCTTGAAGACCAGAACCAAAGGTAATATTATCTGAAAGACTGCAAGGAATATTCCACATACCACAGCTCATTTCCTTAGCATTCCACATAGTATATTTGAAACAGTACAAATAAGGCCGACAGTACAAGTGTAAGGAGTAGAACAGGATCCTATGATATAATTCTTATTTTCTAGTCACACCCTTGAAGCTTCAGAATCCAGCCTTCCCACCCAAAACATATCACCCACCAATAAAAGGTTCTATTATTTGTTCTCTGTTGGCCCCTACATTACTATTACCTATATGTGAAATCTAGTTTATCACTCAGGAGGAAAACATAGGAAGGAAAAGCAGCATCAATACCATATTAGGATGATGCAGTCTTTTTGCAAGACGGAAGGAAATTAACTCGGGTTCCCTCTCGAGTAAGGAACCTCCCTGCTACCCCACAACAACACAGAGCATATCTCTACAGAAGTGAGTAAACAGCATCTTTACAAAGACATGTGGGAGAGGAATACAAGGCATTTAAGCATGTGTAGTCAACAAGATTAAAAGAACCTATTTCTGTACAGTGGTTGCAACAGTGCATCACCTGGTAAGTAGCCATTCATAAACCAACTTTAACAACCCCATCATCTTCACAGCACAAACAAAAATGTTGATTTCCCCATCCGCCTTTTCAATCTGGTGATATCAAATATGCAAGCAAACGGAAGTTACTCTGAATCAATGGGGGAATACAGAAGTGATCTGATAATAATGCTGATGCAGGGGGATAAGTCAAAATCCCCAATCTCCTTATAAAAAGAAGGGACAAAAATCATCTTTCCAACAGAGGAGAAGGTTGGGTTGAAGAAAGGATGGGGAGGGGGGGACACTGAGGCCGGGAGTGACTTTCCTAAAGCCAACCCATTAAGGCTGTGTCGGAGAGCAGATTTGGACTGGGTGATCTCCTGGTTCACTTGCAGCTTAGGCTCTTTGCAACCCTTGAGCGGTAGTAGCTTGTGTGTGTACATAGAAGGGGCAGGGCACGGTTGGCCTTTCCCGGCCAGTCACATATGTGATTTGGACCGAAATCTAATTTGTACAGCAGGAGACCACATTCTCATCTACAATAACACAGCCATCTATTATTACCCACGAATATAACGACCTATTTTACAGGGCTGTTATCCCCGTATTATACGATTTCGCCGGGATGGGGGCTGTGAATGGCTTACCTATCTGAGCCCCCCCACCCCCGGCTAATGTTGACTTCTCTTAGAGGATTGCCTGGGACAATGTACCCGAAGAGCAACTCTTAATTTAGCGCTATATAAACATTTAAGACTAGATGAGTATTCGGGGAAGGGGGAAAGGCCGAACAGTTCCCAGACAAGGACAGGAGTCGGGGGTGTAGGAAAAAAGGAGGAGCCCCAGAAAGAACTGCGACCCTCCGAGGCCTTTCGGCGAAGCCCCCTCCCCCCTCGTCCCAGCCAGGCCCGAGCTGCCTCAGCCGCGCCAGGCCCCGTCCTCCCCTTCCTATTCCACTCGCCCGCCGTCTCTTCCTTACCCGGCGGCGTCCGGCCATGTCGTGGGTCCCTCCCCACCCCCCAACGGGGCGCAGCAGCAGCGGCGGCGGCTCGGAGGGGGGTGGTCGCTGGTCTTCCCTTCGTCGTCGCTCCTGCTCTATTGCTTTGCCTCAGCCTCCGCCTCCCTCCTCACAACCACAACAACATGGCGGCCGGAGCCACACTGAAGGGGAGGGCGGGGGAGGAGGGGAGGGGCTGCCAGCGAGAGAGCGAACGAGCTAGCAATGGAGGGCGGGGCCAAGTCTGCCCCTCTCGCTTGCCTGAGGGGACTGAGGGGCGGGTTGGGGGTGCGTCTCCTTCCAGCCCTCCCGGTCTTCATTAGGCGGCTGCCTCGGGAACCGAGGGAAGTGAAACTTGCTTCCCCGTCTCGCTTACTCCGGCCTCCCACGGCCGAGCGCCGCTTCTTCGCCGCTGAAGTTCCGTCTCCTGGAAAATTCTCCCTCCCAATTTTAGGGGAAACGGTTTCCCCTAAAAGAAGGCGAGATCTTGTTTACATTTCTGGAGGGAAAAAGGCCCAGGCTCTCCCGTCCGTCTGGAAAGACGACCCGTTGCCCCGAAGCCAGGGTTGCATTATGCCTTTCGTGGGCCCCTCCCACCATAATAATACCAATATAATATTACAAATTATTTTTGATATAACCTTAAATACTTCAACAGGTGTTTTTTTCTATTTTAGGCCAAATTCAATAGATTTTCGTGGGCCCTAAAATTTCATTTCCCCCCCCCGATCCGAGAAAAAGATTGCAACATTTTTCCGACCCTAAAAAGCTCATTTATTTCTTCTGTTTTTAAAATAAATTAAAACATTTCCGTGGGCCCTAGGCACTTTGCCTACTGCGCCTAATGGAGAAGTCGGCCCTGCCTGAAGCCTTGCCATTTTTTTGGGAAGGGGGACTCTTGTGGCATTTTAAACACTAACTGATTTGATCTGGCAGAAGACAAGGGAACTTGTTGGTCTCCAAGGTGCTGCTGGACTCAGATCTTCCTGTTCTACTGCAGACCAACAAGGCTGCCCTCTGAAATTATCCCTCACGGTTTATCTTAGAAATAACAAAACTGCTAGCTAAAGATAACCCATCAATGTCTATGCTGCTGATGCAGGCATAAAAGTGGATCACAAATAAAACATAAAATATGATTAAAATTAGAATAAAATCTAATAGCAGACAAATGTTTAAAATCATGAGGAGAGCACTCTTCAAAGCCTTTGAAGAATTATTCAGAAGCATGAAGGGTTATTGTCTGTTAGTATGTGAAATGGACCAGGCTTTTGCTGTAACATACTGTCTTGTGTGTTAATATGATGTTGCCTGCAGAGCTCTTGTAAGCAAGACTCTTTAAATCCATGCGTGTATGTAAAACAGGTTTAATAAATATGTCTCTGAATAGGAGAAATTCTGTTTGATCGTTCAGTTTTCAGTCTCTGGATATTAAGGAAAATAACCTAGTGTGCTAAGGATTCTCACAACACCTGGAATTTATCATCCATGGTGATGGCAGAAAGGCACTCTGCACTTGCTCAGAGGAACTTTCATCTATTCTTCCTACGTTCCATGATTGTGTGCTAGCATTGAGAACAGATGCTAGCCTCTGGCACAAATTAAGCCCTCGGGCAAAGAACAGGGAAATTTGTTTGGAAACTAGCAGATTATAGTCCAGTTTGAGCAGGTGCAAGATGACTGTATGATGTTTCTTTATCAACACATCAAAGGCTGGAAACCAGCAACAGTTTGTAAGAGACAGTTGAAAGTCATTTGAGAGATCCATTACTGCCCATGATTCACACATACTTATTTTTGCCCAGTCTCTTCTGGTCATATAGGTACTGCAAGTTCTTGAAACAATACAAAATCCTGCAATCTGTTTATTTTTTATTTATTTATTTAATTCGACTTTTCAACTGTTCTCCCCCAGTAAACTGGGCTTAGAGCAGTGCACAACAGTCATGAAACATCAATTAAAATATGTTAAAACCAATAACAAAAAATACAGCTGGAGATGGTGAAAAAAAGCAATAACACGACTATCTCACGGGGGGAGGGGGATGGGAGTGCCAGAATGGAACTGTCGCTGTCCTTAACCAAACACCTGCTGGAACATCTCTGACTTGCAGGCCCTGCAGAACTGTAACAGGTCCCACAGGGAATGGATGTTTGGCAGAGAGTTCTACCAGGTTGGAGCCAGGGCAGAGAAGGCCCTGGCTCTGGTCAAGGACAGCCGGATATCTCTCAGGCCAGGGACCACTGATAGATTTTCATCAGCAGAGCGCAGTGCTCTTCTGGGGGTATACCAGGAGAGGCCGTCCCAAAGGTACATAGAACTATCTCACAGGAGGGCCTTGAAGGTCAACACCAAAAACTTGAACCTGATCTAGTACTCCACCGGAAGTCAGTGCAGCACATGCAGCACAGGATGGATATGAGCTGTGTGCAGTGTCCCTGTGAGGACCCGTGCCACTGCGTTCTGTACCAGTTGGAGTTCCCGGTTCAGCCTTGGGGGTAGGCCCACATAGAGCAAGTTACAGTAATCTAGCTTGGAAGTGACCATTGCATGGGTTACAGTGGCTAGGAAAAACAGAATGACTGTACACAAGCAGCAATCTTGCTTCCAAAGCTTTAACTCTTTAAAAAGCCCCTATTTTCAAAGAGTCCTGCGGCGCCTTAACGAATAGCGGATTGAAAATATTCCTACCCTTGTGCCTCTTTGTCTGCTCTCACAGAGGCATCCAACAATCAAATTAAAAACTCTGAAAACACAAATAAAGAATGCATAAGAAAAGATCCAACAAAACCAACATAAAATCCAATTTATTGAAAGCAGTGTAAAAAATCAGTTCATTTAAAAGTAGCACAAAATTAACCAGAAAACTGCGTAAAACAAAAGTAAAAACAATAGTTATTCAGGGCACCAAACATACACTAGGGCAGAACGACCACAATGAGAGCAGAAATCAACAAAAAAGCCTGGGAGAAGTAACAATGATTTTACCAGGCAACTGAAACTCAGTAAAGTTAGTACCAAGTAAACCTCTGTGGGTAGTGAGTTCCACATGAAAGGCAGAACAACCAGGGCTATTTTTGGGCAAGAACGCACAGGAGCGGAGTTCCGGATGCCTTCAGAGTTGGCCACGCCCACTACAGCCAAAACCTCTGCGTGCGTGGCTACAGAGGGTAGGCCTGGTGAGTGACACACACCCGCGCGACTCCGAGGTGGGTGGGCCAGAAGGGACCCTGAAAGGATCGGGGAGGTGTTTAAATGCCTTCCCTTCCCTTCAAGGGGGGGCTTGCCCAGGCAAACCAAGGGAATGTATGGGGGTGTGGCCTAATAGGCTAATGAGTTTCTGCTGTTGGGTGTGGCCTGTTATGCTAATGAGTTCCTGCTGGGCTTTTTCTACAAAAAGAGCCCTGATGAACAACTGAAAATGCCCTGTCTCTAGTGCTCACTTACTTTCTCTGTTGGTGAGGACAGAGCGAGGCCTCAGAAGAATATGTTAGCTGATGAGCCAAATATATTAGCTAGAGCCTGCAAACTCCTGCCACAACACTTGCTAGCCTTTACAGTGCTATGGCATTCTTTTATTAGAGGGTCCAAAATATATTCTTTCTGAGTTAAGGCTTTCATAGTACAATGAATTATGCTTCCCTTTTTCACTCATAAACACACACCACGCCTGGGTGTTGCTTACCTCAGATTGAGAAACACTTCAGCTAATGGGGAAAAACAAAATGAGTCCAGCAGCACCTTAGACTTTTTTTATTCCAGCATATGCTTTTGTGGACTAGAGTCCACGTCTTCAGAAGCAATGGGTCATTCCCAAACTTTTTTATGTAGGAGGGAGAAAAAAATAAACAGCAGGGGGAAAAGGCCATGAAATGTAGAAAGTCTAGGGTGAAGTTCAAATCTAATCAAGAAAAAAATACAATGACCATTCACTAATTTTGCTAAGCTAGTTAATACTTGTAAGAGGCAGAGAATCCCGGAGTTTGCTAAGAAACCCCAAATGAGAAAGAAACTGCCCTAATTTCATGGCTCTGTTTAAGACACCACTAGACTCCTGTTTGTTTTTGCTATAACAGACTCGTTACCCTTCTGAAATTACTTCTACTAAAAAGATGCTTACTTGTCTTGAGCATTGCAGATAATTATTTTGCATGTCTATCTTGAGCTTTTAGCTGCAGTGTTTATTCCAATAACATGAGCGTAATAACATGAGCATGTCTGGAGGTGAATTTTGTTGCAGAAAGGGAAAGGTCTGTGCATGTGCTGGAAATCTGATGACGTTAAACTACAAACATCGGTCCAAGACTTCCTCCAGCAGAGATCTTTAGCCACACATGGATAGGCAATGTAGTGACTGAACACCCCAAACAAATAAGTGATGGGTACATGAAATATTAGTAGGCCTGCTTGTCCCACAAAAAGAGGGCAGCACCCTAAAGATGATTCTTCTGACAAGGTGGTAAATTAGAGCTATTTAAGAGAGTTTATTGGGCAGTTTCAAAGCTATAGATGTGAGCTGTGGCTTATCTGTTTAATTATGTGTTTTAATAGATTATTATATTTGGGTTATATTTGTTATATGTCAGGAGAACAGTGGAGTGTATAAATACCCTAAATGAATAAATAAATTCCATTTGAGGTAGTAGGATCATCTTACTAACAAAAACCTGTAGGCCAATATATTGGCTTCTTACCTTGTTTTATGTTGCAACAGGTTAACATGGCTACTGGTACAGAGAAAGAGATTATATTGTTTATGGGGCCAATTACAAGCTTAAAAATGATACAAGGTTCAGCATTCCCCCAAATTATTCATTAAGTCAAATTAGATAACATTACCTATGGTGCTTCACAAATACCTACTCCCACTATGGGACACCATCTCACAGTAATCGATTTGGAGCAACAGACTCCTTTTGTGAAATGGTATCCTGGGATGAACTGGCCATTTAATTTACACAGTATTTTCCTGGTGGGCCACTCCTTAGAGAATGCAAACAGTTCCAAGCCTCAGCCATCACATCAGGAGCTCATAGCTTAGACCTTTCATTGGAAATGGTAATTGGTATCAATTTACCTATGATGTTTCCCTGCACTGCTGTCAGTTTTCAGGGGGAACTAATGCCCACTGTTTGCC